GCACTATCAAAAATTAGTGATCGTTTTCCGAAATTCTCAGCTGCAGTTGAATTTGCAGGTTTAATTGAAAGAGGAAAGGGGATTTCTTGATATCAAGGCAAAGCAAGTTATAAACAGTAAATCCAAACTTTGAAACTGGCAAAATTACAATATGGGTGCAGTGAGTGCCTGCGCACTTTATTGTGGAAGTGACATGTGGATAATTTTTCTCAATGTAATTACGAGGCACTTTAAGTCTGACATCAAAGCGTCATGGAAGAACGGTCCCTTGTGGGTCCAACGCCCGGTCATCTGCGACCTCGCAGTTCACATGAGGCCAAAAAACGCACAGAGATGCGAGACTCAACACGAAATACACTCATGTGGCCTCACAAATCGTTCTAATTCTCCATGTGCTTTGAGCTGTTATGTGAAGTAGTTGCACAGTGCTTAACTCGCCACCCATCTGTTCAAAAAAAGACTTATATTTAATCAGTAAACCTCTGCAACATAAGACGTTTTAGTTAAATAGTCGACCACTCCAAACCTAAATGAAAGGTCGATTTCGGGACCCGTAATTTGTCTTAAATCTACTTAGAGATAACATCGTCATTTACGCATACCTTAAAAGTGGTCCATCATAAAGTGAAAATAGTAAACGTGAATGCACAAAACTGATATGTTTGTGGTTTTGACACGAACAAATCTATGTTTTAAACATTCTACATTATCACAGTGAATTACTTTGATAAAATGGTCTTTCAATTCAAATCGGACATTTCTAACCACATGCACCAAATTACTTTCGTCAGAAATCTGGCTCTGTCACGAGTGAAAATTATACTAAACTAGACTTGACATGCAACGCCAGCTTTTTCTAAGCATCGGTTAGTCCGAGTGCCTACTGCGGCAAATGTGTAGCATTGAATTTGCCAGGTTTTTTTCTAAAATTAAGAGCCATGTCTGGCAAAACCATAATATTCAAAGGCGCTCAGAACAATTAGCATATTTTTCGATGTGGAAGACGCAGTAAAAAATTTACAACTATAAATCCTTTACACGTTTACATTTGAGCTTTAGGGAAATTGTAAAAATGCATGCCCGAAGGCACAACGATTTTAAAGACGCATAGCCAGAATTTGGTTTAGGGTAGCACTAATGTTTGGAAAAAAATGCATATTTATGAACTAGGATCCTAAATACCACCTCTCACATATTTGAAAATTCGATGGTGCAATTTAAGAAGCAAATAGAGTTACCATGTTTAGTGCTGTCCCATACGTTAATTATTAATGCGCGATTAAATTTTCAATGTCACTAGCTAAGCAGACATTTTATGAATCAATGCCATTTTACAAATAATGTAAAAATATGCCAAACTGCCAATGCAACACGGGATACTGACAAAAAATGAGGGCAAGGTAATTTGTAAAACAATGCGCGGCATTAAGTTTTAAATTATTACCATTGTCAAGGGCAGAAGCTGAAGTGATAACAGCATCGCGGAAGATGATGTCGAAGTGTCGAGTTGTCGAGACTCAAAAAAGAGGCATTTTCATAGCACTGGTTTCGGAGGCATCGGTAGCCAAGTGAACACTTGCTGCAAACTGGCCCAGCTTCGTAGGGCTTATCTCGTTGGTTTGAGATACTAAGGACATAACCAAGGCATTTTTTTGCAATAAGAGTATAGGAAGTGTGAGCTTCACTCCGTCGAGCATATATATGGCGAAATTTTTTTTGCAAAAATGGTTTACAATGGCTTTTCAGAGAACATCCAACTTCCCTTGTTCCTACCCAAACCATCTTGAAAAAAAATTATAATTGGCAAAAAAAAACGTAGTGAGTTTTTATGCCGTGCGCGATCAAGTGCATTTTTGTCTTTTCCAGATTGCAAACCAAAATGAACTTTATACTTAATTAAGAAACACATATAGCCATAGAGGCAAATTTATAAATATTTTCAAGCGGTTTTACTATGTATGACGACATTTCTCGACCGGTTTCACTTATTATACCCGCGAAATTCAAACACTTAAAAATGTTTCCATGGGCAATTTGTGAGAAGAAGCACCAATTAAAAAAAAATATTTACCTAGTCATAAATTGTTGCTCACCTGCTTATAGTCGCCACAATAATCCTCACATTCATCGTTCTCAAAATCGTAGAAATCTTTTTGGGCACGAAGATAATAGTACGTGTCTTTAAAGGTGAGATTTTCAGTACGTTGAGCCGTCATAATCTGTCCAACGCCTTCGTACTGCGGAAATATCTTCGTGTCTGGGTTTCGATAATCACGGTGTGCTAACCACTCTTCCGCCAACTGTTCCAGCTCAACTGAATAGCTCTACAATTAGATAAATTAACATCAGCAAAAAGCACGAGAGATGCAGTTGGTGTAAAAAGCAGAATTCTTGAGACGCGAGCCAACACACAGCGAACCCGTGGTCAATACAAATGCTTGTTTCCAAAATTGTTAGCATACTATTAGGTGCATGCTGCTGGCGGTTGGCTGAACGTCTTCTCGCATCTGTCTGTGAAATTCTTCAATCTCATTTCTATCTTCCTCTGACGTAGCATAGACCCCTGCGATCCACATAAGGGCCAGTAGACACAAAAGCATCTGCATTCTTGCTTATTACGGCGAGTGAGCAGACAAATGCAAGGTGTTAGCTGACTTCATGGATTATATATTTATATCAAGACGTACCAATAGGTCAAGGCGATCCAAGAACGTGGGATGACCTCACATTACTCCTTGAATCCGTTCTTTTACGTCGCCGATTGCAAAATGAAGAGCAAAAGTTTAAACGCTTATTACTTTCAGTGGGCTGACGCCTCATTGCCTTATCAGCACAGTTGTAATCGTTTAGCGACAGCATCTGCATTGTATGAAGATGGAAAATTGATAGTTTAGTAAATGCCCTCTTTCACAATATAAAACGGATGAGGCAAAAATTTGCACAAGAGAATTTCACTCATATAATTACGGTGTGCATTTGGATTAAAATAAACTTTGCACTGATTTTTGTCATTTAATACTAAACTAGTTTCTTTCGATTCAGCGCATCCAGCCCAAAGTTAGCTGCATAAATACTGCATAAATACTGTGCTAATTAGTTTGAAATCAATAAACTTCATTTAAAAATTATGGAATGAAGGACTGCCTGCTTAAAATTATCGTTCTGATGCTCCGTTGTCCAAAAAATTGACAAGAAAAAATTGGTGGAAAATGGCAATTAGTTGGTGATTCTAATAGAAAAACTAGTCTATTCCCATGAGACTTTCTTGGTGCAAGGAAGTGACGTAAATAGCCTTAACCCAGGCATAATTTCAATTAATTTAGCATATTTAAATAAGTAGCGTTAAAAACTCATCAAAATTTATAATGGACAAATCAACTGAATATAAATACAGGGAATCTGGCGTCACTTGAGTTAAGGGACTTGAAGAATTATTAAGCTGGAGAAAGACAGTAATTTCATTGTTTAGCAAATGAATTGATTCACAGTTCATGCAACTTGGTGCCTTAAAATATTTTCTCTAGTCACATTTCTTAAGTCCTAAGTGCCATTACAGTGTGTTCAAACAATTTGTAAATGTAAATGTCTGCAGACAAAATCATTCAAAATCATTCCAGCGGTTCCAAGTTGAAATGCATCAATTGTGCATGAAAAACGATTTAGTTACCGATTTTGAATGAAATTTTTATTTTGGCCTTAACTTAATCGGTGGAATCCCACACTCTGCAGATGAGTTGAATCTGAATTCACATGTTTTTCACGTCAAACTGTGATGAGCTTAGGCTGGACTACTTCACGGTGATTAATCTGCCAACGCAGAATGTAGACAAAATTATCATCTTTCATCGGGCGTACACATTAACTCTGTTGTGGGAATGGAAGTACCTGCAATCACGTGGGGAGATGCGGCAAAGTTGATTAAAGGCGAGACTCGACGGATGAGGCCAAGTTGAAAAAAGAGATTTGAGTTAATAGAAACTAGAAGGATTGTCGCGGAATGGTAGGTAGACGCCACGAGGTAATTAGAATCGAATAGCATCGACCAGAATGTGGCAGCATCCGGAGATTGGATGTCGTTAGGAAATGTCTGTGGTAAGAACTTTTGAACAGCAGCATTCAAAGGAGGCATGCTTGTGACAACCTAGTTTGCATGCTTCCCCTTTGAAGAAATGCACATTGATTTTGCTGCTGGATAACGCTGAATCACATTCGTTGCACTTTTCGAGGTTACTTTTGCGGCAGCCAGCATGCAAATTGATACCGAATCAAGTTTAAACATAAAGAAATTACGCAAATAAGCAAATCCACACGTAAACAGCGGTGCCGTAACCACATAGTAGATAGTTGAAGTCATAGCATCAATTCATTTGTGCAAAAAGCTCTGTGGTACATGCTAATGCGATATTGGGGTGCATTTTCTCATGACGCATGTCAAGCATGCCAGTGCATACCCCCAAGACACGCGATATTCACTGTCATTTTTTTATAAGTAGCAATAATTTTACCCGGGTTCAAGAGGTAAAATATAGTCACGGGAATATCCAATTCTGGCTCTTGAAATAACTGTGGTGCAACTAGGCATCTAAACTCGAACTTATTAATAACAAGGCAATCCTGTTCGCATTACCAAGTGCAGCATGTCAGTTTCTACTGAAGCACAACCAGAATCTAAACATCAGCGTCTGCTGTAGTATTATTAATTTAGGTAATCGAAGGTGGCTGTGTTGCTCCAGTCGAAAAATAACTTTTTGGGGAAAGCAGAAATTTCCACAGTTACGCTGCATGCAGCACATGTGATAGCCTTCTTGATCCTGACTCCTTGACAATGAGAAGCCAAATAATGCTAAGTAATGCCAGGTCACACCTTTACCAGCCACGACGCAATAACTGTTGCATAACTCAAATATCTTAAATATCTCACCCCAAATATAGCGCCACTTGATGGACTCTGCTGACTGAATCACAGCGTGGATTGTTAAGCACTATTCATATAAAGTGGTTTCCCATTCATTGTTCCATTAACGCTTATAGCCCCTATTCCCTTACGTTTTTACTAATCTGGAGTATCACTGGTAATCATTGAAAATAAACTAGTTAGCGCTTAATATGGTTTGACTTGAGCTGATATATTTTGGCAACGTGAAAGAGCTGTTTAACCTGATACAACTGTCAAGACTTTACGAGCATCCAACTGCGTATTGAACCTGATGTTATAGTACATAGGGATTGTCGTCCAGAATCTTACTTTGTCTCACAAAAACGATGAAAAGCGTCTGCTGCAACATGAATCAAAGATGAAGCATTATTCAGAAAGTTATTATTTTCCAATGTTGAAAAAAATCGTTTAATTCCATTTCGCTTATTCTGACCAATCTGGCGGAATAGTGTAATGCATTTGAGTGTAAGCCGATGTTAATACATTTTGTATTTTTAATTGT